ACGGTACTTCTCATTCTCAGCTGAATCCTCTATGGTCCCTTTCTTCTAAAGGCTGGCTTGCCCCAGGGCTTAGAGCCTGTCTTTACATCATTATCTACAGATCTTCCCTTGATAACTTCACCCAGGCCCTAGGCTTTAAAGGCATTTTATGTTAATTATTAAAATGTATCATTTAAACTCTAAACTCTCCCCATCCCTGAATTATAAATCTATCCATCTACTTAATATCACTAGCTTAAATTACCATGTTGAAAAATAAACTCTGATTCCACTCATCATCACACCAAAAAATAAACAAAAATAAACCTTCTCCCTCACTCTTCCCTGTCCCAACAAACGCTCACTATCTAGTTGCTTTGGTCCAAAGGAAAATTTGACATGTCTCCTCTCACATGCACATCTAATCTACCAGCAAATTGTGTGAACTGCAATAAATATCCTTGAATATGTGTCTTTATGTGCAGTAGGGGATATGTCTATAGCATATATTTCTTGAAAAAAGCCTACATTTTTAAGATTCCCAAATTTAATTTTTCTGCTTTACTCAATTTACCAAAAACTGTTCTAATGTTTGTTATAGCAGCATAATGGCTGATCAACAGGACACTGGTTATATGCTACCATATTACACAGATTCTAAGATGTCCATTATTTTTCACATTTAACATGTGTGAAATCTGGGCTCAGCATTTTGCAATTGCTACTGGCTAAGCAGCACAGCAGTCATGGCAGAGCTGGGATTGCCAGACTTGGAATTATCTGTTCATACTGATGGTAACTCCAATGGCTTATGGGCACTGGTAATGCTATACATGTTGATTTTGCCATTTAAAATACCTTCAAAAAAAGTTATGGTATGATTTGGCACTAAAAGAAAGGTTACCACATAGAAAGGCACAAAAACAGAAGCAGGACATATATTGATATTAGTGAAACAAATACGTGTAATAACATTAAACAAATGCAATTCAATATTTTCTTGCAAAGTAACAACTGAGTCTTCCAATGGGACCTACAGTAGGAAGTAATCCATAAGAAGATAAAGCTGTGTTAGCTTTTATTATTAAGATACATGCAAAAAATAAAATGCCTATCTTAAGCCCAGCAAGGTAACTGATGGCAGGAGAAATCACAGATTTCTTCACAAAACATACATTAAAAAAAAAAAGGTTGGTCTAATTAATTCATGAACTCTCAAGATTATCAGGAAAATACTGTGTCACGGTTCAAATGGCAATATTTTTCCACTTCAGTGCATAAAATAACGGTACATCTTATTATAATTTATGGCATCCTGTATTCAATTAGGTATGAAATATGTGTACAGTGGAATACCTTACAGCTAGAAAAATAGAAAAAATAGAGGTAGATCTATGTTTACCGACATGGAAAGAACTTCAAGACAAATTATAAGTACAAAAACAGTAATACAAACAAAATTGTTCATAGTATGCCTATATATTTGTGTAAAAAAAAAAAAGAAAAGAAAAAAGAAAAAATAAGAATGGGGGCAGAGGAGAGAAGGTACAGACAGGGAGCCAGAAACAGCCTTCATCTATGGAAACGTGACATATCAACAGCTGGCATTGCAAAGCAGTGAAGAAAGGATAGACAACTCAATAAATAGTGATTGAACAACTCAATGACCATGTGGAGAAAGATAAAATTGAGTCCTTCACACAAAGTTCACTTCCAAATGGATTTCATTTAAATAGAAAAAGCAAAACTTTAAAATGGAAGTATGACCTTAGAGTAAGGAAGAATTTCTTTTAAACATAAATATCGCAAAACATAAAGAAAAAATAATTACATTAAAATCAGTATTTCTGTTCATCAAGACATGGGTAAGAGAGTGAAAAGGCAAGCCACAGACTGGAAAACTATCTGCAATACATTTATCTAACAAAGGATTTGCCATAGACTGGGAGCAGGGAAGTGACTTTTGCTCAGCACTGTATGCCTAAATCTAGCTCAGTGGCTGACATATAAAAGATGCTGCAGTAGAGAGGTTAAGAACCTAGGGGTTCCTATTCAACCTCTTTGGGCCTCAGTTTCCTCATCTCTAAAATGATGCCAGTAGCATATACTCACAGGGTTGTTGTCAGTCAGTGTACAGAAAGCACTGAGCATAATTACACTTAGAGCTTCATAATGCCAGTGATGGTGATGATGATAAACTGAATTATTATATTTCATCAAAGAGAACCAGGACTGTCCTGAAAAACAGCAGGACTTTCTTGGGATGGAGAGTTAAGATGGGCCTAGGGCATCTTGCTGAGAAACAATAACTCTTCCAATAATTTTCTGGGTTGTGTATTTCAAACTGCTTACTGCAGTCTTATATGAGGAAACAGGGAAATGGAATCCCAGTTAGGGAACTGGGACAGAGTGTGGTAGATGCCCAGCATGGAGAACTATGCAGCAGTTAGAAGTGATGGACTGGATACAAACACAGTAACCTGGACAGAAATGAAAAAACAGTGCTGAGGGAAAAAGTTAAGAAACAAAATGAAATCTGTAGGACAAAATCATTTATATAAACTAAAATTACAGACAAATAAACTAATAAGAGATACTTAAAAATGCATACATAGCAAAAGACTATTAATTTACTATATGTGAATGATTTCTAGTCAGGAAGAGGAGACGAGTGGGAAATGAAGACAGAAGGGAATAAAACAACAGAGGGACTTCGTATGCCCTGTGACAGTAAGTGCCATGAACCAAGGAGTATAATTAGTAACCAGGTGTACCACAACTCCAAAGAGTAAAAATAAAGATAATAACAACAATCATCCCTGTGATAAAGTTGAAATAGACAAGAACAGCCTCAAGAGGGTGTCCACTGATAGGAGTGGCCTGATAAATAACAAGCTGTTTATCGCAGGCCATAACCAATGCAAATAAGCTGGATCTCTAAAAACAGACTCAAGGTTTGAGATACTAAAATGGAGCTGTTATTATAAAACATGTTAACAGAGTTATGCAAATGAGAATTTAATATTGTTTTTAAATAGTGTAATGAATATATACATATCTCAAATAAGGTTGCAAAAGAATACATTAAGTGTGAGCAAAACCCCAGTTAATGATTACAGATTGCTACTGTAACACCTAGTTTTCAAATCTGTTCAGCTTCCATCGTTTATAGAGGCTAATTGTGAAAAAATAAGATGTATAAACAAGTATAAACAAAGGCAGTGAATAAAGGGAATTCTTTTCATGGGAACTGTTATGATTATTGGTTAAATTATGAGTAATTAAAGATTTTAAAGGTGATAAAAGGAAAAGAAAGTCATGTCTATATATTCTTATTCCCTCAAGTCCCCTGTGTAGTGCACCAGAAGTCAAGGGGTGGACCATTTGGCAGCAAGATGTTTAAATGCGAGCTCTAAGGAAAATTTCATACTGAAAGATTTCCCCAGAGAAGTTGTAGATGGGGAAAATGTGTATGTGAAGTGATTTTAAATGTTTCTACATTGCTTGAAGTGCATTCTGTGCATCTGAAGCTGGTATTAACCAAAGCAGAATGCTTTTCTGGTTGAGCTCAACTACAAAAATGTATTAATGGATTTACTTAGGGGCAGTCCAGTGTGGAAGCATGAATTCATTTAACATGAGGAATTAATCAACTTCCACATGAGCTAAGGTCAGTTTGTCTTTGAGTGCACCTGAAAAAGTCAAATCTGCCAGTAGCTTGCAGATCTATGGTTACAGCCTGGGAGGCTATCCCTGCCATCAGACTCAACTCTTCTAATGATACTTATTTAGTACTGTCTCACTCCACCACCTCTCTAATGGAGAAAATATGATGAAATGGGACTGAGATCAATTGAAAAAGTAGAAGGCTAGGCGCAACGATGAAAGGAATTTGAGTTTGTGGTTGTACATATTTTGCTATTCACTGTGGTCAAGACACCTGTACACTTATCAGAATTACTGAGGAAATAAAGGCGTGTGTGTGTGCGTCTGTCTGTCTGTCTGTGTGTGTTCATACAGCTGTACCTGCCTAGAGTTGCTAAATAGGGTAAAGTTGGATAAAATAGATGTTAAAATCAGCAAACCTCAGGTTCTATAGATGTAAGGTTGCTAGGTATCCAGTACTGACCCTGATGGTCATGTCATTTTAGCTTCTTATCTGATAAAGTAAAAATTTAGAATCTGTTCGTGTAGATGTTCTTTATTTAAATATTATGATTTCAGATTTTACCTTAATTTGCAATTGACACATAATCAGCAATAGACTGAAGCACTCAAGCTTTTAGTTTCTCTTTGTTTTTAACTCCCTATAAATAAATATTTCGGAAGATATTGATTAAAATGCTGAAATACTTTCTTAATGAGAAATCTTTTGGTAATATGATTTTATGCTTTAATTTAAATGTTTTACAAGAAGTTAATGTATTAATGTTTAGTATTTTGTTTAATAATGTAAATTTTATAGAAATGATTTTTCAAATTTCCACCCGCTGGCAGCATGGTACTTTTGTTGGCAATCCCTACTCACTGGTTATAGGGGAAGAGGGCACTCCACTCCCTCTCCTTACCAAGTAATCCCAAGACTTCAGGAAGCAGCTCTCCCTCTTCTAAATTTCAAAACCATTATCACCTTGACCCTGAAGAAGTACTGCCAGGACCAGAGGCACTACATTGGCAAACCAAGGAAATAATGGTTAGTCTTGATTGGGGAAAGGCAAACAGCCTTGTTCATTGTTCATTCCTTTACTCATTTATGTTTGGATCCATGGCTGCTTTTGGGCTATAATGGCAGAGTTGAGTAGTTGTGACAGAAGCCATATGGGCCCAGAAAACTTAAAATATTTACTATTTGGCCCCTTAAAGAAAAATGTGTGCTGACAGGTGGTCTTAATAGAAAGGAGAAAGAAGTCATTAATGATATCACTGGGGGATGCTTCAAATACATACTTGAAGTTTCACACAAGGATAAACAATAATAACTTGCCCACCAAAGTACCCCAAAACAGAGAGTCAGCTGGCACCTCAGTTCCAATGAGTGTAGGACGAATATACAGACTAGCAGATGTTGAATATGGGACCCATTCTTGATCCAATTTCACAAGTTGTTGAATACACTCTAAAAGCTCTTCCTTGTCAAATCTCTGGAGGTATGAAAAACATAATGAGTGATGGAATTTTCTTTCATTGTAATAATAGGAAACAACTCTTATGAACTGTTAAAAAAAAATAATAAAACCAAACAAGAAGTTTTTTCTGTTACTCTCCGCCACACACATATTATGATGGGATGATAGATTACTTATATGGGGAAAATAAAAAATTGGATCCCGACCTCTAACCAGATCCAAATATCAACTATAGTTGGATTATACACTTAAGTGTGATAAAACATTAAGACGTATAGAAAATATATAAATATCATGGTCACCTTAAGGTAGAAAAGATTTCTTAAAAAAGAGACATAAAGCACAAATGAGAAAGGAAAAAAAATGGATAAAATGTGACTATTTAAAACTTAAGGGCTTCTGTTCTTCAAAAGAGGTAAGCAGCAAACTGGGTGAGGTTATTTGTAACATAACCAACAAAGGATCATAACTGGAATATGTTAGCAAAAAAATGAGAAAGAGGCAGATGACACAAGTGAAAAATAGGAAAAAGCTAAAAGCAATTTATTTCTAAGGAGAAAAAGATTTTCATATACTAAATTGGTGACCATTTGAAAAATCAGTAGTTTCTATTCACTGGGTAAGAGAGAGAAACATACTTTCAGAGATGTATGTAATGGATGGGTTATCCGAGGTACAAATGAAGTCAGAAGAATGCATCTGAGTAGACCTCATGACAATAGGATCTGGCTATTTAAATGTTAATTTTTAACATTAATCACAGTGTACTAATATTACAGAAACCAGGACTGCCAATTATATAGGATATATCATCACCATGTATCACCTGATTGGGTCTCTGGTACTGCTGTCTAGAGAAAAGATTTAATTGGACAAGAACGTGACTAGAAATTTTAAAATTTACATCCAATTTCTTGCCCTGTCCCTTTATTCTGTGAGACTTTAAGTAAGTCCTTTAACCTCTCTGGGCTTGAGTTTTCCTTTCTGTAAAAAATTACTACTACAATTAACAATATATACCTTCTTGACAGTGACTTACTATTATGATTAAACTGACGAAGAACGTAAGACCACATAACACAGTTTGTAGCAGAATTGATGTCCAATGAATGTTACTCCCCCTCGCTTTTCCTTCTGTCCTCATTTTAAAGTTTTCCCCAGTGACCTGTCTATAATGGTAGAATAGTGAAACTAGGACCAGTTCCAAAGAACTTACCTAATTTCCCTTCTGCTACCATATTATGGCCTCTAAAGGAAGTAGGTGAAGCATGGTTTACAAAAACAAGGTGAAGGATGAACCTGACTAAAAAGTAATAGTTACTTGGATTTAGCTGTTCCCAGGCTTCTTTGATGGACAGCTTGGGCTTGGTTCCTGAAGGTTCGGTACTCAGAATATGTAAAAGAAGGAAAAGACTTCTTCCATTCCAGAAATTCAGCCTGGTCATGTCTCAGGGAATGAAAGTAATCTATGTCACTTCCACCTAGATATTAATCTTAGCAACTAAATCTAACCCACCTTATAATGAATTCTGCTCTATAACAATGGTATAGCCAGGATCCAATGGCCATGAGAAACCAGTTTGATGTCATTTTTTAAAATAAAACTTGGGGTAAATATCAAAATAATTAATTAAATAAGTGCATATTTGCTGGTGTCCAAAGCAATTAGGCAAATATCCCCAAAATACCTGTGTGGAACACCATGTTTTCCATTTTCAGTGTTATAATTTCATACATTTTTCAATTTTATTTACTTTAATTTGACACATTTTCTTATTTCTTATCTTTTTATCTACCGCATATGCATTAGTCCCTCTCGGATACTCAAAGAAATAGACTGTGAAATTGCCAAATGGTATTGGTTACTTCCTTAAAGTAAATCAGAAATAACTTCAGTGTTCTTATGATTTGTACTGAATATCTAAGTATTCAAAAATGATTCTTTTCGTTGTAAACTCACAGTGAACCATTACGTCAAGAGAAACACAAAAGAAATGCCTAAATTTACGTACCGGCAAAGTTGCTCTTATAGCAGACTGGTGCATTCTATCCATGTTGAGGTCTGGTCGAAAGAGTCTAATTTTATTATCTACTCCTCGAAATGCCTTTGTCCCTTCAAATAACTGAAGATAAAAGAGAAATAAACCTTGGAGGTTAACTAAATGAAAACATTCCCTATGTTCAACAGACTGAATTATCTATGGGCACTCATCTCCGTCATGTAAAGTGGTTGACACAGACCTCAATCAGAGATCCCTAACTCTAGAAAAGCCACGAGTTGAAAGACTGGGTGTAGTAATTGGGATAAAAAGAAGTCCTTGTATTACCAAAACCTGGTGGGAAGTCAGAGTTATCCTGTGC